GCAACTGAATAGGGATTTTTCCATGTAAACCAGTATAATGCAACTTAATAGGGATTTTTCCATGTAAACCAGTATAATGCAACTTAATAGGGATTTTTCCATGTAAACCAGTATTATGCAACTTAATAGGGATTTTTCCATGTAAACCAGTATAATGCAACTTAATAGGGATTTTTCCATGTAAACCAGTATAATGCAACTTAATAGGGTTTTTTTCATGTAAACCAGTATAATGCAACTTAATAGGGTTTTTTCATGTATAATGCAACCTAATAGGTTGCATTATACCACCAGACCAAGACCCAAACGAAGACTCAGACCACCACCAGATAATGACCACAGACCAGGTTTCCTTAGTTACAGGAACCAAATTGTTTCAGCGGTGAGGGGATTTTTCAGTTTCAAGGACACTTTCAATACATTCAGTAGTTTCAAGGATTTCAGCTGTTTAAGAATTTAACCAGTTTCAAGGATATCAGGAGGTTCAAGGATTTCAGGAGTTTCCACACTTTCAACAGTTTCCAGGTTTAAAAAAGTTTCAAGGATTTCAGGAGTTTCAATGTTTCAACAGTTTCAAGGATTTCAGGAGTTTAAAGGTTTCAACAATTTCAAGGACTTCAGGAGTTTCAAATATCTATCAAGTATTTTAACAGTTTCAAGGCTTTTTAAAGGATTTCAAGGATTTTTTTTAGCAGATTTCCACATTAGATCTGTTCCGCAGTCAATCGCAATGGCTTCAGCCATTGCAAGTTTCTTTAAGAAGGTGCAGATTAATGTCATTAATTTTAGACACCAAAATGATCAAACACATTAGATTTTAGAAAAACCCAACAAGCCATCCGATTCCTCTGATGCTGAACAACACAGTCATTGATTGACTGCGGAACCTTCCGCAGTCAACCATTGGTTTTGTATTTCTTTATTCCGTCATTTTTTTTGACACGTTTCACAGCTTTCACATTTTCAACAATTTCCACAAGTTATACATCAAAACGTTCCACATGTTTGGGAGATTATTGCTATTACTTTTGGGACTTCAGCGATTTCCGGTTTTTCCGCAATCGGACAAAAATCTGCATTGAGAATTCTGCAATGCATTTTAATAGGCCCATGCATTTTAATAGGACTTCAGCTCTTTCAGACATTTCTACAGTTTCAATGATTCAACAGTTTCAAGGATTCAACAGTTTCAAGGATTTCAGCAGTTTCAAGATTTCAAGAGTTTCAAGGACTTCAACAGTTTCAAGGACTTCAGCAGTTTCAAGGACTTCAGCAGTTTCAAGGACTTCAGCAGTTTCAAGGACTTCAGTGTAATTATGCAACCTAATAGGGATTTTTCCATGTAAACCAGTATAATGCAACTTAATAGGGATTTTTCCATGTAAACCAGTATAATGCAACTTAATAGGGTTTTTTCATGTAAACCAGTATAATGCAACTTAATAGGGTTTTTTTTTCATGTAAACCAGTATAATGCAACTTAATGGGGATTTTTCCATGTAAACCAGTATAATGCAACTTAATAGGGGTTTTTACATGTAAACCAGTATAATGCAAATTAATAGGGTTTTTTCCATGTAAACCAGTATAATGCAACTTAATAGGGATTTTTCCATGTAAACCAGTACAATGCAACTTAATAGGGATTTTTCCATGTAAACCAGTATAATGCAACTTAATGGGGATTTTTCCATGTAAACCAGTATAATGCAACTTAATGGGGATTTTTCCATGTAAACCAGTATTATGCAACTTAATAGGGATTTTTCCATGTAAACCAGTATAATGCAACTTAATAGGGATTTTTCCATGTAAACCAGTATAATGCAACTTAATGGGGATTTTTCCATGTAAACCAGTATAATGCAACTTAATAGGGGTTTTTACATGTAAACCAGTATAATGCAACTTAATAGGGTTTTTTCCATGTAAACCAGTATAATGCAACTTAATAGGGTTTTTTCCATGTAAACCAGTACAATGCAACTTAATAGGGATTTTTCCATGTAAACCAGTATAATGCAACTTAATGGGGATTTTTCCATGTAAACCAGTATAATGCAACTTAATGGGGATTTTTCCATGTAAACCAGTATTATGCAACTTAATAGGGATTTTTCCATGTAAACCAGTATAATGCAACTTAATAGGGATTTTTCCATGTAAACCAGTATAATGCAACTTAATGGGGATTTTTCCATGTAAACCAGTATAATGCAACTTAATAGGGGTTTTTACATGTAAACCAGTATAATGCAACTTAATAGGGTTTTTTCCATGTAAACCAGTATAATGCAACTTAATAGGGTTTTTTCCATGTAAACCAGTACAATGCAACTTAATAGGGATTTTTCCATGTAAACCAGTATAATGCAACTTAATGGGGATTTTTCCATGTAAACCAGTATAATGCAACTTAATGGGGATTTTTCCATGTAAACCAGTATTATGCAACTTAATAGGGATTTTTCCATGTAAACCAGTATAATGCAACTTAATAGGGATTTTTCCATGTAAACCAGTATAATGCAACTTAATAGGGGTTTTTACATGTAAACCAGTATAATGGAACTTAATAGGGGTTTTTACATGTAAACCAGTATAATGGAACTTAATAGGGGTTTTTACATGTAAACCAGTATAATGCAACTTAATAAGGATTTTTACATGTAAACCACTATAATGTAACCTAATAGGGGTTTTTACATGTAAACCAGTATAAAGCAACTTAATAGGGATTTGTACATGTAAACCAGTATAATGCAACCTAATAGGGATTTTTCCATGTAAACCAGTATAATGCAACTTAATAGAGATTTTTCCATGTAAACCAGTATAATGCAACTTAATAGGGATTTTTCCATGTAAACCAGTATAATGCAACCTATTACGGATTTTTCCATGTAAACCAGTATAATGCAACCTAATAGGTTGCATTATACCACCAGACCAAGACCCAAACGAAGACTCAGACCACCACCAGATAATGACCACAGACCAGGTTTCCTTAGTTACAGGAACCAAATTGTTTCAGCGGTGAGGGGATTTTTCAGTTTCAAGGACACTTTCAATACATTCAGTAGTTTCAAGGATTTCAACTGTTTAAGAATTTAACCAGTTTCAAGGATATCAGGAGGTTCAAGGATTTCAGGAGTTTCCACACTTTCAACAGTTTCCAGGTTTAAAAAAGTTTCAAGGATTTCAGGAGTTTCAATGTTTCAACAGTTTCAAGGATTTCAGGAGTTTAAAGGTTTCAACAATTTCAAGGACTTCAGGAGTTTCAAATATCTATCAAGTATTTTAACAGTTTCAAGGCCTTTTAAAGGATTTCAAGGATTTTTTTTAGCAGATTTCCACATTAGATCTGTTCCGCAGTCAATCGCAATGGCTTCAGCCATTGCAAGTTTCTAGTTGAATTTGTGCCCTACTTTAAGTACCATGGCATAACATTTTATAATAAAGAATTGGAGCTGTGAGATTAGAACAACATATCAAGGTGAACCATCAACGATTTCTTTGCCCGATTATTACACTTATCCCATCATACGCTGTACATTTTGCATCCTAATCTCAATCCCAGCTGTCTTTGTTTACAGCAGAGATGAAAGTAGGTCTATAATCTCAAGGCTTGTACCACAAAACACAGCACAGCATGAATCCCTTGTCACCCGCTTGATCCTTTTTTCCCCCTCTTTTCCTACCCCAAAAAAAATGAGAAATCTTGAGCTGCGGCAACTGTAATTACATTAGAGCCCTTCGCACACACACCCCGCTTTGAGCACAGCACGTCCGCTCATGGCCACGGGATGTTAGAGGCGTGTTGCCATGGAGAAGTGGAGGGGACAGGAGGGGGGGGTTTGGTGCGGGTGGGAGCGAGGGAGGAGGCAGCGAGAGTTACCGGCGTCTTGACAAGAAGCAAAAAAGAGAGAGAGAGAGAGGGGTGTGTGTGTGTGAGTGTTCGCGTATGTGTGTGTGCAGTGGCAGTGAAACAGTAGCAGCTCAAGGGGAGACTCCAAAACGTCAAGGGGATACCTGCAAACGCGCTGGTAGGAAAAATATCCATTCTTTTACAGCTGAGAAAAGAATGCTTTTTTAAAATCTGACGGATTATTGTCGCGTTGGTTCTGATAATACATGTGAGGGTAGAATAATGAAGCTTGAAAACAGGTTCAAATATGGAGAATAATTGCAGAAGACAATCAAAATCAGTCCATTTTGCTTATGAAGGTTTCTGTTTTTGTTGAAATTGAGCTATTTTTCCTGGATAGCTGTATACTTTTATCAATATTTGGATGGATATGATGCATTTTGAGTTTAAATACATTTCCTCAATACATTCTGCCTTGTAAATCGTGATAACTTTAAACTTAAATTTCTTGAAACAACCCAGAATGCTCTAATTCTAAAGAAGATGGACAGTGAATTACACATGATTTGCGCCACTGTCAGCTACATTTGACAACATTTTAAGTAAATACTTGTACTGCACTGCATAGCTGACATTGTTTGCATTTGTGAGAGGCATGCACAGGACTTAAGGCTTGTAAATTGGATGAAATATGATCGCATTTACTTTGGAACTGTGCTTATGGAAGTGCCTAACTGTAAGTGAAGAGCCTTTGAGATGGCAGTGTGTGGTGCAGTCTGTGGACAGTTTAAGTATTCCATGATTGATCTGAAAACTGTCACGTCAAACTCCTCTGCAGCGTAACCGGTGTGTGTGCGTGCGCGTGTGAGAGAGAGGCTTGATTGATTGCTAGATTGTGTAGGAGTAGTGGGTCTACCCTGCTTTTGTCTCTCAGCAGTAATGATATTTATTACAATCTTTGCAGCTGCGGATGGGGGAGGGGTACAAAGCTTTATGTGGCTTTGTCTCGCACTATTTGCCTCGAAGTTTCACTCCAGTCTGTTCCGTTCCAAATGACGATTGTGTCAGCTCCCCACTTCCTGCCCGCCGTTGAAATCACATCTCTCTCTCTTCTGTCTTGTCACGGCTGAAGGTCAGATGAATACGGTCTCAGTCGGCGCAGATATGCAGACCCCATCAGCTCTCGGTGCCCAGTTCTTATCCAGCACTCAGGCCAAGGTCCCAGGCAGGAAGAGAGGAAGACCCCCCATTCGGAAGCTGGACTTTGAAAGCTGCTACCCGGAGCCACTGACCCCAATCAAGATCCCCAAGAAGAGAGGCAGAAAACCCGGCTTTAAGGTTAGTGTTCTCTTAGTTTAAGCACATTCATATATTTATATTTAACAACATGACAAGCTTTCAAATATGTAACTCTAAACCTATTTCCAGATACAAGTCACTAAAGCAGTAATGATTTATGCTTAATAGGGATCTTTTTTCTATTCTTCTGACCTTTTCTCTTTCCCACCAAAGCACACACTGCCTATACCTCACAGTGTTCAGTCATTTGCATATTGATTTCAAGTAGCTTTTACCTCAGATGCCCCGAGACTGACTAAACATCTGCACATGACTGTTGCTTTGCAGTTGCTTCATTAAAACATAAATTGTTTAGTGAAGTAAAAGTTGAATTAGGTGCACAACAGGTAATAGTTAAAACGTGAATATGGAGGCACTTCTGTTGATTAGCATTGTATGTCTTCCTAGCTGACACCTGGTATTATCATTTTTTCTTTCTGTTTTGCACAAAATAGACTTTGAAATAGCCTCAAAGCTGGTATGCATATTTAATGAGTAAATACCGGGCTGTTTTTCTTTTACAAAAACGTGGTTGATTTCCTCTTTTGAATACTAAAATATTGATGCATTCCTTTTGCTTTGTGCCCGAGAAGCTCAATAAGCAACAGTGTGACAGTGAAGCCTTCTTATCTGATGTGATGGATGCATCCGTGCGTGTCTCCTGTATGTTTGTGTTTCGTGTGTGTGTGAGTGGATGTATATGTGTGTGTGTTTGTTTTCGCTGCATGATTTTGAATACATTTCCAAGTGTGATTTTGGAGAGGTATAGTAATTACAAGTCACTTTGCTATTCATATTGCATAGATAGTATAGATATTGGGAATTTGTCCTGAAGAATTGATATTTGAATTGATATTTGAGATATGAATTGGCATTTGAAGTTTTCTTTCTTCTACTTTGGGGGTCTCCATCCCATAGCTCAGAATCTACCAGTTTCCAGGCAGCTCCCTAAAGGACTTAGAAACATTTATGTTAGACTCTGGGGACTTTGAGGAGGACAGAGACACACCTCCTGCTGGGACTCTTGAGGAACACAGGGACTTACCTCCTGCTGGGAATCTTGAGGAGCACAGGGACTGACCTCCGACTGAGACTCTTAAGGAGCACAGGAACTGACCTCTTGCTGGTCCTAGAGTCAGGACTAAACATGCCCAATCTGTGGAATAGTCTTCTTCTGTTGATTAGAGCTTGCCTGGCTTTAGCCATTCGTACACTCCTATCAATCATCATTTTCCTGCACTGTATGTTAACATTCAAGTTATATGATTGTATTGTCAAGGACTACAGATGGAAAGTTGCATGGTGCTAAATCTAGTGCAGCCTTATTTTATTATACCCTTATGTCCTTCATAAATTATACCTGGTTATGTGGCGTGTGTGTGTTTGCAGCTGAAGCCCCGGATGCTGCTGTCCCCTCTGGCCAACTCTCCTCCTAACAGCACCCCTGAGCCAGAGATGGGCTCCCTCCCTCTGGACGCCGCGCTGGTGCCGCACTCAGCCTCCGCACAGGTCCTCACAGGTGAACAACAGCCATTAGTCCTTTTTTTTACACAGCAGCTTTTCACAGCACACAAAGGAAACGGTGGACGGATGCAGGCCTGCCATCATAACCACTGCAGCAGCGTCAGTGTAGAATAGCAGGAGAAAAGATGTCATTCAAGGCTCAGTGTTTACCGTTCTATGCTTTCTCTGCAATAACTGGTAGATTTTTCTGCTTGTGATACAATAATGTTTTAGCAGTAGAAGGTTGAATAACTTCCTTAGATATTATTCTTTATCGCTCTGTACAGTATATCTGACCATGACCGAGATGAATGTTGTGTTCGCTGATAACAGTGATAAAAGAATGGATCAAGACGACAAGCATTTTTTCTAATCCAAATTTGCTTTAAATACCGTAGACAAAAATGCAAAATCGTAAACGCAATAGACCTTACATTCAAATGAAGCAATATTTTGTTCCTATGAAATCCAATTGCGAGCATGCAAGATAACATACATACTCTATTGTATGGTTTTGCAAATAGGGTTTTTTATTATTATTTTTTTTTTTACTGTTGTTCTTTAAAAAAAGGCTATGCCAAAATTATAATCGAAACCGCATTTTATTTTGCTGTTCCTAACATTCAAACAATCTGATCCGGCAAATACCGTAAACATATGGAAGTAAGTCATTTGTGGTGATATGATGAAAGACATGCCACAATTACATTTTCATTCGTCCCGAAATCTAAAACAATATTTTTTTTTGATTAAGTGAAATAACATAAAATAAAGAATAAGATTGATATTTTTGGTGATATAATGAGAAATATGCATACAGTACATGCCACACTAACATTTGTATTTACACTTCTATTGAAATCTAAAACAATAAGGATATTTGATAAAGTAAAACTATATTAAATGAATAATACGATTGATATTTGGGGGTTCTCTTTTTGAAAAGCAGCCACCCTCTTTTTTCTGCTGCTCTGACGGTGGCCTATATTCCACTATTGGCGTATATTGTTTGTTCATGTACCATTGTTGCTCTATTCTTTGTTCTGTGCAGTGACATGCTGTTTGGGAATGCTCTTTCACATCTCCTCTGCTCTTTCTTGAATAGAAATAACCCATAAATTGCCTTTGGGGGGCATACATTTGGAATATAATGCATGCTTTCATTTTTTTCCCCTTCTTCTTCATGAGTTACATGAAAACCCTTGGGAAAATTCAGCTTTTTTTTCTCTTATCTAAAATATATTCAGCCTTTTCTTCAAGCCTCATTTCCCCACGGCCTGGTCTGATATGTATAACCAAATATTTGAGATAGCCTTAAGAATGTTTGAGATGGAGTGGGCAATCTGACACGTCAAGGACCAGAGATTTTGGCTTGTGTTCTGTAAAATGTGTGTTTGAGGATGACGTGTCGGTGTATTATCTTCTGCCTTGGAGCGCCACACAGACGCTGATGTCAAATTGGGTTCCGTTTCCAAACCTGCGCTACGCCACACGCACTGATGTATTGAAACATTAGAGATTCATCATTTTGAGATTAAAAGTATAATTTCTGTACAGGCGTCTACTTTCAGCCAATCTATCTTTACACAAATCCATAAATGCATTACCACCAAGTATTGAAATGTGAGAGGCGTATGTTGTATGACTCCAAGGATATTCAGAAGGCTCAGTAATTGATTTTGTTGTGTACTAATTGTGCTCTACGATGTTTGTGGAACATGCTCCGGCTACGGTTGCAATGTTCCAAATGGAAAATAACCCCTCATTAGCAGCTCTCTCAAAAATTACATTTAGAAACATTTATTTGGCTTGAAAGTGGATTCTACACTAAATCGTTTGTTTCCATGGCGATTACTTATAGCCATACTTTCAAGCAACAACCAAATCTGGCTCAAACACAACGATCGGGTTAAAGACTTTTTGTCTTGGGGCCCGGTACCAAAGTTTTTACTTACTTAGTCTATACTTTTATACCAATGTATCAATCATTATTAGGCAAAAGCTTGTGGTTATTTTTATATCCTTCTAAATATATATTAGGGAAGTTTGGATTATTCTCTGGTCAATTTTTCAGAAAATTCTTTTATTGAAACAAAACCGTATCAATGGTAAGCCAGAGATGTTATTGTAGATGAATAGGCCAATTATATATGTTTCGATTTCACCATTTCAATACGTTGTTTAATACATTAGGGTTCTTTTCTTGAGAGAATCATTAAAGTAAGTAAGTAAGTAAGTAGATATTAAAACGATGTACAACATGGTCATAACTGAACCTATTTTTTGAGGCGCGCTACAATTTATGACAATACAATACAATTTATTCTTGTGTAGCCCTAAATCACAACAGCAGTCATCCCAGAGCACTTAACAAAACCATTGAAGTCACAAACACAGATCAGAGAATCAACAGTTAAGACACACACCCTGACCATATAAACCTTTTTTCCCCTGACAGCAGAGACCACCACTCCAGACCTGTATCTCTGCGACTCAGCCTTCAGCGCCATATCTCCTCCGTACAACCACAAACGAGCCTTTGGTTACCGAAGCAACAGCTGCCCCACTCCTGCCCCGGTGTGCAGGCCGCCTTCAAGTCCACGGCGCTACCATGAGCGCAACAGGACCGGTGAGTTCAGGCTGACCTCATCATGTATGTCTCCATAACCAAAGCCGCATTCATACTTGTTTGTCTGGTTCACTTGGGGCGAAAGTCATGTATTTTTAGACGTCAAAACTGCCAAACAAGTGACATGTGTCCACTTGTCATTTTTACAGCTTTTGAAACAGATCTGAGAGGCATTGTTTCCTCTAATGTGAACCTTTTTTGACCACAAACTTTACAGACAAGCCTTATGTACATTGATTGGTAAGGGTGCCTGTGAGGGAAAAAAGCAAGATTTAATAAACAAAACTCAAAAGAATCATTATCCAGGATATTAAAAAAATCGCAAATCAAAGAAACAGGGAAGAAAACACAGTCAACCGACAACAAGAGGACAGAAGCAGGTAATCAGCAGAACAGGAAGTAAAACTCAAAAGAACCAATATATCAGAATTAAACCAGGTAGAAGTAATCAACACAAATTCCACACCGTGGCGTGGCAGGTATAAAAACCATAACAATTGGACTAATGTGTGACTAATATTTATCCCAATGTGGCAAAACTAAATATTGGGGTTTTCAAAAGTATAGAAAACTAGTATCGAAACAAGATTCTAAATTGAGCCATGTATATTAGATCCTAAATACAATGACTTAAACCTTTCTTGAGAATTTAGATACGTTTTAAAATTGTTGCGCCTTATAAAGCAATAATATTTTTGAGTTTTAATGTACAGTTGATCGTCTGAAAGGAGCATTTTTAAATAATCGCTGTGGTATAGAAATTGTTATTGAGTATGTATGTTCTTTTCCCAGTATCAAAATGGAGTTTGAAATTTAGTTTTGTGACACTCTACTGCATAAGGCCACATGAGTTCACAAAATTTGATCATAATAATTTAGTGGTTTTATCAGTGACTGGAAATTCACAGACTGGGAAATAGTAGAAAGTTGTAATGAGGCAATCCTTTCATTTAATGACCAAATTCTACAGTATATATCCACAATAGGCATGCCCGTAAATACAGAAACAACTATAAATGCCAAGCTTACTCACTTTATTATCACATATAAGCACAATGACAATTGGTCAACTGTGTGCATTTTAGTTTTAAGACACCATTAATCATATCAAGTTACTTTCATTTATTCATCATAATGACCTCAAAAGTTTTAACAAATAAACGTACTCACATTTCAGCTCTCTAATTCCTAATGATCACTATTGCATGATATTCACTCACTTCCTGTTTAAGATGCTGTTATGTTCTTATGGATTTGCTCTCTCTTCTCTCTTGCAAAACTGGTTGGTTTGATGTGATCGTTCTGACATTGACAAAAGCAAATGTTCTTTCAGCGTACAGCTCGGGGCTCGAGGCCGGCGGCGAGAGCAAGCGTCCGTCAGATAAGGATCCGTCGAGCTGGGGCGTGGAGGAGGTGGTCTGCTTCATCCAGGACGCCGATCCACAAGCGCTGGGCCCTCACGCAGACACCTTCAGGAAGCACGTACGTCAAAGTTGGTCTTCTCCTCAGAAAGTGAACGTTACATGTTCAAGGCTCCCCTCTGGGAAATTTGATGGACACAGACACACAAGACACTCTCAAAATCACGACAAACAGTATCCCATCAGTGTTAGAATACAAAATAATGCTCTAGTCAAAGACCACAGATAAAAACAGTGTTCACACAATAATCAACAAAGTACAAACAATGACTAAGGTGCTAGTGCGGTGCAGATTAAGTCTCCAAAAAAGTGCTTGTGAAGTTGGAAACAGAAAACCATTGCACACAACCGATTAATCTGCCCAAACGAGAAGACTTCAGTGAATCTGGAAACATTTGAAGTATTACTAGCAAGAATTTGAACTCTTATTAGTATCAGAACCAGAATGTTTTATTACCATTGTACTGCCAAGTAACAGGAAGTCACAAACTAGTTATTTGCTTTTACTCAACAAGTTTTAAAATTTAAAAAACATGCAAAGACATGCATACAAAATCTTCATACAAATCTTATCTCACCACTATTTTACACTTTAGGCTGGGAGTTGATTGGCTGTTCAAGGAGGGGCTACTCTATTTTTCTTTAAAGTTTTAAAGTGGTGCTAATTATATAAATGCATGAAGTAAATACATCCATGGATGAGTTTTATACATTTCAGTTTGAACATGAGGTACACCAGCTTTAAAGTCTATTTCATGGGTGTCCGAAACTAATAAACTGGGGGCCAAATCTTAACACATTTCGCCTAAAATGTTAGTAGACACCAAAGATGTCAAACTCTTTCATGATTGGGGGCTGAATTATTTTTTTATATCCATAATTTTCTTAGTGGAAAGGTCTTTTTAATAAACTCAAATTTTCCATCTGTTTTGTATTTATGTTTATGTTTATTATTGAATAGAGAAAATAAGAATGGAGGTGTTACTTTTAATTAACATGAGTTTTATTTAGTTTTATTCAGGTAAATTTTTCTGTGTTCAGTTTTGTTGTGGTTGTTGGGGTTTTTTCTCTTTCATATTTAACTATTGCTAATTCCATTTTGGTGCCACCTCTTTGGGCACCCCTGGTCTATTTGGCAGTTTGAACTACAAATAGACTACAAATACAATAGACACTTTTGTATTTTTGATTCTGAAACAATGACCTCCTGCTTGTGGAATAAGACATGTCCCTTGTCCCTGGTTCCTGGTTTAGTGGTAGCTTATCGTGCCCTTTAAACACATGTTGAGGCGTTTGTTTTGTTTCAGGAAATCGATGGAGACGCTCTGCTGCTGCTGAAGAGTGAAATGATGATGAAGTATCTTGGACTGAAGCTGGGGCCGGCTCTCAAGCTCTGCTACCACATTGATAAACTGAAACAGAACCGCTCCTGATTTATGCGGGAAAGGCCAAACTTTCAACTGTAGCTGCTGCCAGAACTGGACTTTATGGGGCCCAAGGCTCTTTTATCTGGCAACAAATTAAACGTATGACGTGTGCATTAGAGAAAAAAAGTGACAAATCGTGTTTAACATTGACTTCAACCACACTGCGATATTGTCTTATATGTTCAACAAATCTGTGACAGAAACAGACAACGATACCTCAGAGCAACAATATACAGAACAGGAAAATGGTGCTTAAGTTATTGTCATGGCTGATGTAAATATTTTTTCCCCTCCAGATTGTTTTAATACTTTTTCTATTGCTGTTTTTGAACTCTCTCAATGTTTTGGATCTGCCACAATATAATACAATAGCGAATAACGGGACTACATTAATAACACGCAGTAGCATTAAAAGATATTGAATAATGAAGCCTGTTTTTGTGATTGCTTTGTCATTGTCAAAATGAGTTACCACAAACACTTTTACCACAGCAGCACTTTCTAACAGGAAGTATCATGAGTTTAAAGCATTGTTTCAATTTCTTGTAGTACTGTTAGGGATTGTTATTATGTCACAACTCTCTATGTATTATAATGATGTTTGACTGAGATAAGTCGAGCTATTACACAGTTGTATTACCTGAAAGAAAGTGGTCGCTGCAATGAGTGGAGAAAGAAGTAGCAGATGGGGTGCTCTTCGGGATCAAGACAAACATGTGGACACAGAAATGGAAAAAATCTGAGGTACTTTGAGACCATGGTACAAGTTCTTTATTAAAGGGACATCCCATGGCCAGGGTCTTCATCAGGGTTATTGTTTGTTTAGTCCATAAAACATCCTCAGAATGCATTTTTAAGATGTTGTTTTTTAAGCAAAGTTTTAAGCTCTACTATAGATTGTTGAAGACCTCCAGTCACTCTATCTTTCTGTTAAAAAAGTTGTTATTAAATCTTTCAAGCGTTCCACTGCCAATGTGTATACTAATCATATAGTAGGGCGTGGGCGGCACGGTGGCTGAGTGGATAGCACTCTCGCCTCTCAGCAAGAAGGTCCTGGGTTCGAATCCCGGCCGGACCAGGGCCTTTCTGAGTGGAGTTTGCATGTTCTCCCCGTGTCTGCATAGGTTTCCTCCGGGTACTCCGGTTTCCCCTACCACTAAAAATATGTACAATAGGTCTGGCATGCGCCTCCTGTTCGGCGACCCCGCTCCCATCTCTGTGTGGAGTGAGAGGACAAGTGCCCAAAAAAAAAAAAAAATAACAATTGTAAACCGCTTTGTGACTCTGGTCTGTGAAAGGCGGTATATAAATAAAGCTTACTTACTTACTTACTTACATATCCTTGTGTCCACACGCTTTATACGTTTTATATATTTACCTTTTGTTGATATGATAATGATATCATAAAATTAATCTCTTATAGTCCTGTGCTTATTCAAGTGTTTTACAGCACTAGACGTTCATTTATGCACACTTTTCTATTCAAATAAATAAATATATTGCGAAATACACGCTTTATAAAAGTCTCTCGAGAATATCGTACTTTGTCGCGCGATCTCTACTTCCTGTTTGAGGCTACTCTTTGGTGTCATCCAAAATCCTCATAAAAAACTTCCCCTTCTACTTTCCTTCTCTTTTTTTATCGACCCTAGTTATTTTAAATGTTACCTAGGTCGCATTAAAAAATTGTACACATGTTTTAATCTTTACTTGAGCAAACCTGCAAAACCTTGTTCCATATAAGGCAATTTAATTATCAAAGGAGGTAGAAGTTGTGCATTGGGACGCAGACCTGGATCACGCTGGCTCTGTCAGACTGAGGTGAACATGGCAGAAGTCTCGGAGAGGACCCTTCAAGTGGCTGTTCTGGTGTCCTTCGCTGCGGGCTTTGCAGCGGGCTGGCAGGCCAACAGGATGAGGAGGAAGTTTCTGGACTGGAGGAAAAAGCGTCTACAAGACAAACTGTCCGAGACGCAGAAGAAAATAGACTTGTCTTGAAGGGTAAAGTCTCCTGCAACATTACTGTCCACATGTGTAGGCCAATAAGTGCTTTCTATGTTGTGGTAATAACACCTGGCTGAGAGACTCATAACATTATTAGATAAGATAAGATAAGAAATCCTTTATTCGTCCCACAGTGGGGAAATTTCAATGTTGCAGTGCATATACAGGACAGTAATATCACACAGGGAGCACACAAAAAATACAAAATAAGTAGCTGCTGTTTCTTAGCTAACTGTAAATGCTTTAATATAATAATCTTTCAAAATAGAAAAGATAAAAAGGGTAATCAGTGCAGTGGACATTCTGAAGTAATTATTTACTTAATTACAGATGAATGACATTTAAACGTTCAGCAGTTCTCATTGTACTGTGTAATAATTCATATAAGAGTATTCCTACAATCTTATGATATGTCCCTGGATTACGTATTCTACCGTTTCAAATCTCCAAATACCAATTTTGCTATCAATCTCTCAAATGAATGTAATATGCTTTTAAGTCCACAGTCATGTATAATAATATATTTATAATTGGCTACTTTTTTCCACAGAATGACTAAGAATTAAAACGTCAGTGTGTGTTCTGTTTGTGTATTTTCAAGTTATTTTAATGTTTTTTTTTTTATATATCAATACTTGCTCAAACCAATACCTACTTTCAATACTTGGTCATTCATATTTTGATCCTACTTTTTTACTTCTGCCAGGTTATCCTTTGGTGCTGGGTGGACTGTGCTGCTGCTTTCTACACTGGGAGAAGGGATTCGTCTTTTGATATTATTCACCCCAAGGAACTCAATGTATATGTCACTGTATGGACTTAAACTTCAACACTCAAAAATCATTTATATATATGAATGATATGTGTCCCATTGTCTCGTTAGTCTCATGTTTGTTTTGTATCTCTGTGGTCAATAAATTTTTTGAATCTTTTTCCATTTGGCATACCAATCTTGAGGCCTTTTTATTCTAGATGTGTTCTGCTGTTTAATGCATGTGTCAAATGGTCCATCTAAATAATTGTGATTTATTACACTGATGAAAGTATTGTGCTGGCTCCCTCTGCTGGCTGACTTGCATGATTACACGGAGGCAGAGCTGGGATACCTAACTTTAAAAAACACAAAAAATGCACCATGATACAGAATCCATGTAGCCAGTTCCTCCCTTTCAAAGCAGTTATCTATCTGCTGAAGATTACATGTTCCATTGTTGTGAATTTCTCCATTGTGAGATCAATAAAGTGTATTTTATCCTAAGACAAAGACAGAATTTTATAGGCAACATTTTACATTTAGACACACTGTTGAGGAAAATAACTATCAATTATTATCAAAGAAAACAATTGTCTCCAGCGTTAGATAGTTCTCTCAAATTATTAATGAATTATTTATCCATCCAACCATACAGGCCTACTTAAATACAAAACAAATATGTAAAGAAGAGACACAGCTATAATAGTATAATTCTGAAAGGTGTTGCTTATACATTTTACAGAACATGTTGTGGTAGTAAGTCGGAATAAGATAAGTCAAAAGGCTGAGGTTTGACTCAAGTTTGCATTAGCGGTGAAAACAACAATAATATTATTCCAAATCAGGTTATTTTTTGAGTCCGGATCAGTGTTCGTGTTTACGTGATTTTGCAACAAATAATCGTGGAATGGGAATGCAAAATAAAAAGCATGCTATCAGTAGGTGGTGCTACAGAGCTGTGACACAACTGGGTTTACAGATCGTGTTGATACAAGTCATCACATTAGTTTACAGCACGTACAGACACTACACATCATAACAAAGCTTTGCACCTGCAGTCTACTTAGCCTTTCTCATATAGTCATCATGAAAAGCATGTACAAGCGGCTCATTGTACACAAACATATAGTAATTGTAATTGTAATATTGCTATTTTAATGCATTTTAAGTGAATGCTGATTTTTATTATGCCTTACTCTATTTTTTAACCTCTCTTCTTTCTCTGTTTGCACCGAGCCAAAGCAATTTCCTAGTCTGTGACTTCCTGTTACTTACATGGCAATAAAAATGATTATGATTCTGATTTAATGTTAATTGTCTTCAGTTGTCCATGTTCAGGCTATGTTTGAACTGTTTGACCTGATATTTTTTTGTCTTTAAATACATTTGTTCCTTTGAAACTATTTACTAGAACGTATTGACCCGGAATTTCTCATGTTTCACTCAAGCTTATTTTGTTGTTATGTGCTCAATAACTAACCATGAAATAACCTTTTTTATTAGCTTTGCTGTGATTTTAATTAAAAAAACAAACATAAAAACAATTATAGACAATCCCTACACTGTCTCATATTGGTTATAGGCAAGCGTTAAAAAGAATTGGGAAAGAAAAGACTGGATTTGTGCATTCTTAATTAAAATATTCTGCAACATAGCTCAATTTGAAGAAGAAAATTCGATGATGAGAAGGTGTCCTTATTTAAAGACGCTGGAAATTGCACTGACATAAAGTAGGAGGAGATGAGTGCCTTGGGAGGACAACTCTCCCCGGTGTTTGTGTTCTGGAGAGGCTGTGATTGTCCCTTAGCGCCTAATGCTGGGCCTAAATTGTGATGAATAGCTGACTGGAGTGGGCTCTCAGTGTGTAAACTGTCTGGCTTCTGTTTATTTTTGAAACAAGCTTTGTGTGACTGTGGGCAGCAGGGACGAGACGCCAAAGACTATTTTCAAAGGGGCAGAGAGGAGATAATGTGCAAAGCTGCGATACTATGGACGGCACAGTTTTTATACCACTGAGAAATGAATCCCCTATATATAATCTGCTCTGAGTCGGTACGGTCTGGGTATTTAGCAGAATCAAGAGACTGAGACATGTGAAACTAAGGCAATGTACAGTCTTTGTAATTTGGTGACTGATACCTTCTGTAATTTACCATTTTTACCCAGAGAAATACACGTGTATTAATATATGCATTTATTTTTGTTTATTAAATAAGGCGCAATGCAGGCATATGTAGTTACAGCAAAATATGCAACTGATGCGACACATACAGAGTGGGTCCTGCAGGGTCCTAGCTTCGATTCCACCTCCAGGCCTTTCCTCTGTGGAGTTTGCATGTTCTCCCTGTGTCTGCATTGGTTTCCTCTGGCTGCTCCGGTTTCCCCCACCACCAAAATATGTACAATAGTTTTGAACGAGTGTGTGCTTGTAAGGGCGTCTCTGGGACAACGGATGCAAATTTGCCCAGGGCTGCACTCCCTCTGCACTGTCCCAACCAAATAAACAATAAATAAATCATAGCAAATGCTAATTCTCAACTCTTGCTCCTGGCTGAGATTTTTGCAACACATTCCAGAACAAGTGCACATATAAACGGGTATTATTTAAGTTTTATTTGAGCAACAACTTGAGTGTTAAATGTGAAATGTAACTGGAACGCATATTCAGAATACTATTTATGAGTAAACTCTATTTGACATATTTTTTCATAAAACGCTGACTATCATGCATGTTATTTTGACCTCTGTCCATAGACCATATATGAGGAGTGGACTGGCCGAGTGCTGACAGGGGCAGACATGTTGCTAAGACGGTTGCTACGGCAAGCTAGAGTTTCCCCTGCGAGCGAAGGCATCTGAAGGGTCAATCCTACATGGCTTTTATCTGGAAAGGGCAAAACCAAAAAGCCCAAAACTTTGAGCTTTACTTTTACATGTTTGTCAATAGGAGCCTGAGTGAGTTGGAGCAAAACTTCGTCCATGAGCACTTCCCTATTGGGGTATATTGAGCAAGTCTATGCATGTTTTTCAGTGATAAATCAGCCAATCAGCTCTCAGTAATATACAACGTTTTATAACAAGATAAAGATGTTTTGGTCTAATGTGTTAAAAAATGACATAATAAAGACTTTTTCTGTTGAGACGAACAACATGTTTTTATGAGGAAAGAAAGTATAGTGAACATAGGCGTAAAAAAACCCATTTAAGCATTTGAAATGAGGCGTGCCCGTTTCTTAAAGCTTTTTTCCTGTGACGTCATTCCACTAAATTATGCGTGACCAATATAACCTTTAGAAGAGGCCATTGGGTCTTTGGTCTGGCGGTTTGATCCTCTGCCGTTTCCGGTGCCAGACACAAAGATTTGTGCAAAAGACTTAAATGAGAGCTTGATCACGTCCGCAGAGATGATGGATCGGATTTTCCTAATTGGCACATGGCCCCGGAGCCGGTGTCCTTCGCCTGTATTGAGTTCGCTCACACAGTGTCATGTTTAATAAGCTGCTTGATTGGCTTTCAGCTGCTGTGATTGTGCCCTCTGGCTGTTGGCTCCAACTTGGATGAGGAGAATGCAAGAGGGGAGCTTTGAATTTGGAGAGGAAATGTGGACCCAGAACAACGGCAGAAATTTGGCGCTGAAGGCCCAGGAACTTTTTACCCAAACAATGGACTAATACAAAGCTTGTTTTATTCACTTTTAATGAGTGTACAGTACAAAAACTAACCTTAATCATACGTCTCAAATCCAAAGCTTTTTTCCTTTAACCTTCCTCAAAATGGCATTAAACATATTGAAATTAATGACGAATAAGAAAAAGAGAGATCCTTCATTCAAACTTACTTACTTCATTCGTCCCACAGTGGGGAAAATTCAGTGTTGCAGCGCACATACAGTACAGGAGAGCAGTAAGAGCTCACAGGAAGCACACAAAATATGATATATAAGTAGCTGCTCTGTTTCTTAGCTAGCTGTAAATGCTTCAATATAAATATATCGATATCTATTTAGTGTAAAGTTATGTACATAGGACAGGAAAAGTAGATAAAGTGACCTTCAGTGGACATTCTGAAATTGCAGTGCACATTTTTTGCACATTGCACATAATTACAGTATTAACTATTTACAGATGAATGACATGTTCAGGCTCAGCAGTCCTCATTGTACAGTCTGACAGCAGCGGGAAGGAAAGAAAGACCTACGGAACCTCTCCTTCACACAGCAAGGGTGAATAAGTCTGTCACTGAAGCTACTCTCCAGAGCAGACAGAGTGTCCTGCAGGGGATAACATGAATTTGTAGATGAGTTCATAATAAGTAATACGTTTTGTTTGTCCCAACTAAAGGAACATATACTGTATACGGAGCTACCAGTTGCTCACCACCCACTTCCAAGGGGCTCTCTAAAGGATATAGAAATGTCCAGAAATCCTTTTTTTAACGTATCTTTTCCATGCAATTCTTTAAGTCTGTACACTAATAAATGGATTAGATTGGTTTCAGTCACTTTCATCCACCCAGAGCATGTCAGCGTTTTACAGTTTTGACTCAATTTCTTTTGAACGGCTTGAGTAGTTCTCTGCAAGGTTTGTCCTGAATAAGTAGCTCTCTTTGGGGAAAATGTCGGAGACCCCTGCTGTTTACTTTTTAAAGCTTGGGGCTGAGAGCTAATTTGCTGAGTGAGGGTGGTCTCATTTAAAGACCTGATCCCAGAAGTCCCACTATAGTGACAGAGGCAAACTGTTATGAGAGCAAAGAACCATGATTTTACTGTTATATGTAGTGGTTTGAAAGTTAGGAATCCCAGCTTTAACATTTAGCGACAAGAATAATTTTGTCAGACAGAGCAGTTTGAAATATTCAACAAAGCCCACTTATCGTTGAACTCTTGTCTCATCTCTCTCGTCCGCCATAAAACAGCTAAAAACAAAAAGTCCTTTTCTTTCTGGAACACAACACTCCTCCGTCCTTTCATTTACATTCCATTTCTGCAGTGATTATTCATGGCACTTGATTGAGCTTGTTA